TTGAAGGGCAAACAATTCAGCTGCTTTAAGTTAGTAAGATAGTTCTACAATATAGGTCGTATACAATATTGATTATTGAATATTATGATAATTAAATACTAAATAGTATAATAATATGCAATAATATTTATGATTAAAATATTTAATTAATAATTAGTAATTAGAAATTACCTTATGATCGAATCCTTTTGACACACCACAGTTAAAGTAGTCTAATTACATAAAACTGAAAAAACTGAGTACTGAATATTATAGTGAATAATAATAAAATAATAAAATATTAAAATAATAATTCGTAAGTTACGATTAATGAGTAACGACGTACGGGTGTTAACTGATCGTTTACCGAACCAGTTGTCTCAAATTTCGACACCAAACGTTGGAGAGNTATTTTGATAATAAAATTTTATAATTTGGACGCGCTGCTCTATAGTGTAACTAACCATGATGATTTGGCATTAGTGACTGAATAATAAACAATAAATTAGATAGACGTCAACAAAACAATAAGGCTATACAGCACAGATAAGATCGGCCCGCTCTAATTGGAAAACCCAATATAACCATGCACGTATATAGTAAACTTAAATTAATTTCCACAAATGAAGGTTGATTTTTGCAGCTGGTAGACACTGGGGTCAACAGCTTCTCTAAAATATGCGTCGAATGATATAAATTACGAAAATTTCCGACAAGTTTAAACGACACTACTTTAAACATAACACGGAGGCATAAAAACGTGTGCATTCAGCTTGGCTGTCCGCGCGTGACTGAATTACACTTCTAACAAATATTTTTGTGCTTATTATTTAAAAAATGTAAAACATACCTTTATATGACTCAGAAAATTCCCAGTTGAATTAATTTGTCCTTGTATGATTTTTGAACAAAGAACACATTTCGCAACTAATTTGTTTCCATCATTCTTATTTGATACGATATTATAGAATTTTCCATTAAATAAATAATTTTGAGATACATTAATTTGTTCTACTTGATCACAACAATCAGATTCTGTTGGTGATACTTGATTCTTTTCAGATACGTGTGCAGGGTCGTCTATAGCTTCTTCCACCAACGATGTTGAAGCAATTTAAGTTTTTTTCGAATTATTCTGGTGCGTAGAAGACGTAGGCACCAAAAAACGTTTCATACTTAATTAAGTTACTAATAAGTAAAACCAAAATATATAAAAGTATGAAACTGTACTAGTTACTCGGTTATAATACTTTTAAACACCACAGGGCACAGATTGGAGTAATAAGACGAAAAGACAAACTGAGTACAACTGACGATCGTTTATCCGACATTGGTGGCGGTTGTATTATAATAATATGACTATGACAATTATACATTATATTATTATACCTATAACATTTTCAAAGACGAATCACGAGTCTCAAAATTGCTCCACGTGGAGCAGCGTGTGTTATTTAATTCGTTGCACTCATAGGCTGACGTGTAATCGACGGATTTATTTTTTAGTTATTTATAATTTCTATAGTTTGGACTTTCCATGTTTTCCACGTCATTCACTTTATTTTAATAACCACATATAGATGCCAGCAAACAGAATTTCGGCGTACGATTACGACTACTAACTATTGATTATTAAATTATTAATATAAATTGTTATCGTCGTAAACGTACGGTGACGACGCGATTTAAAATTGATCCTTTTACCAGGAACATAAATAATATTTCGGCTAATTAAAATAATTTCTACAACATAAAAAAAATGTCTAGATAAATTATAGTAGATGACTGAAGTTTTCATCTAAGATAGACAAATAGATAACATTTAAATTTTCATCGAGATAAGATAATAGATAATAAATATATTTATCTAGATAAGTCTCAACATTGGTAATAATAAGTAATAATAATAAGCTATGTTTAGGTATAGTATGGTTTTAATCTTCTAACATGAATGATGTCTTCAATTAATTTATAATTTAATTCTATTCTTATTTTGTAATTAAGATCGGTGATTTTTTTTATTATTTCAAATGGTCCCCTGTATTTTTGTGCCAATTTAGGTGATTTGCCTACTTGTGAAAATGGGAATTTTACTAAGACCTGGTCACCTGGATTAAAGCTTATTATTCTATGACTTGTTATAATATATTTTTTGTTTGCTTTTGGCCCTTTCGACTATTTGTGGGATTTTATTTTTAATATCGTTTAATTCTTTTAACGATTTTTGTAAGTCGTAAGGTGTGCCTTCGGGTATTAATTTGCTGTCTATTGGAAAATATGGTCCGAAGCCATGCATTAAGAAGAAAGGACTTTGGTTAGTAGAAGTTTGAGTTGTCGAATTATATGCTAATGTTACATATGGTAAGAAATATGACCATCTATATTGATTTTCGTCATTTAAATAATTTTTTAATGAATTGCATAATATTCCGTTCACTCTTTCTACAAAGCTCTGGGTTTCCGGTGAATAGGCCGTTGATAATACTTGCTTTATACCTAATTTTTGTAGTACTTCTACTAATTTATTTCTAAAGTGGGTACCTCTATCAGAAGAAAATTGTCTAAAAGATCCCCATTGTGAAACTATTTGTATTAAAAATTTAATTGTTGATTCGGCTGCGCCGGATTCAACAGCTTTAGTAAAAATGTATTTGGTGCTACTACAAGCGGCAACTAGTACGTATTTTTTTTTATTGCTAGATATTAATGGTCCTAGATAGTCAAAGACTAATCTGTCCATTGGTTTGTTTGATATTGGGATAGGTTGTAATTGACCAATTGGTTTTCCGGGTGACCTTTTATTTAGTTGGCATTTATGACATGTTTTTATAAAATGAGTTGTGTCCTTAGATAACGTTGTCCAGTAATACTTATTTTGCAATTTGTGAATAGTGCGTGAAATCCCAGTATGACCGCCAATAGGTGATTAATGATAAGATTTGAATATCTCAGAAGTTAATTTTATTGGTAGGACTAATACATTTGTAATATTATTAGGAGGTGTGAAATGTTTGTGATATAAAATATCGTTAATAAGTACAAATTGTCGTGATTTTCTTTTATTGTTTTTATTATTGATAGCGTGTTTATTATATCAGTGCAAAACTGGTCTTTGGACTGTAATGTTTTAATGCCATATTTATCTAAGTTATCAGTTTCAATTTCATTGTCATTAATAATGATGTTAATGGCATTCCTCGATAGTGCATCTGCCACTTTATTTAAATGAAATCTAAAAGTTTTAATGCTAGTCTATGTTAGCTATTCTAGCTGACGGAATTTTCAGTTTTGTAATATTGGAGACTAATATTATCGCAGAATACAGTAAATTGTCGCTCCCATAGATATTCACGAAAATAAGTAATGCCAACGACTAACCCTAATAATTCTAAGGTTGTTGACGAATATGTTTTTTCGTTTTCTAGTAATTTTCTAGACGCGTATCCTACTGGATGTAAAATATTTTTAAAATTTGGTTGCTCTAAACAAGCCCCTAAACCTGTGATTGATGCGTCAATGGTTAAAAATACCTCTTTGTTATCATCAAAGTGTTTAAGTAGTGGTTCGGAGGTTAAAAGTTTTTTTAATAACGTAAACGATAGTTTTTGTTCCTCATCCCATTTTATTATTTTCGTATTTCCCTTTATTATTAACTCGGTGAGTGGATGTGCAATTTTAGCGAAGTCTTTAATATGTCTCCTATAGTATGAACACATCCCGATAAAAGATCTTATATCTTTTTGAGTTGTTGGGTGTGTTGTATCCTATATCCGTTTGATGCCGGGTTCACCGTCAATTTTGGTTTCTTCCGTAAATGACGGCGGATAATCGTTTATTTGAGTTCGACTTTTGGGATTAATCAAACACTGAACTCATCCGTTTTGAAATAATTACTTATTGTTTATTATTATTTAAATTTATTTAAAAAAGACATTTAATAGGTTCTACTTATAACTATACTGAATCGTTGTTTTAACTCGACTGCCGTCGTCGTTCGTATCTCATGCGCCCGGCGACGGAAGACGTTACAAAAAAATAATATATTGCTTACTTAGCTAAATACAAACTATGTTTTAAACCAAGGATTCTCAACAGGTGTTTAAATTCAGTAATAGCTTTTATATTTCTATTTAGAGGTGTTATGCCGTTGACTGATATATTATGCCCTAACAGTTCAATATTTTTATTAAAGAAGAAACATTTGTTTGTTTTTAATGAAAAATTCATTTGATCCATAATTACGAATGCTCTTTTTAAATGGTTTAATGCTTGTTCAAAATTTTTACCATATGAAGCTAGGTCATCTATATCAGCGTTTCCCAAACTTTTTCTCTGCCGGACCCCCTTAGAGAAAATAAAAAAGATCGCGGACCCCTAAATAAAAATTTAAATTAAAGCAATAATAAATAATAATACTAAATTGTTTGCTTTATTTTTAAAATTAAATACACATATGTTTATAATGAAAAATTGAATTAATAAAAAAAAATGGATAAATAGATATATTATTTTTATAATAAATAATTAATGCGTTTAATGTGATGGATGGTGTTGTTTCTTTAATACTAAATCTGGTATTTTAGGATCTATATTAGAAAGTTGAATACGTAAATCTGATTCTATATTTAATCGATTTCTATATTTATTTTTAGTGTACACATAAGCTGAAAATCCTTTTTCACAGAGATAAGTTGTTGAAAAAAGCATCAATGGCCTTAGTGCTGAGTCCGATATTTCTGGATAGTCTTGTCTTATATTCAACCAAAAAGAAGACAAAGAAGATTCTTTGAAAACCCTTTTTAAATTAGAATTACTGGATATTTCGATTAATTGATTTTCTTGTGTTGTTGTTAAACCAGTTATATCAGGGACATCTGCATTAAAAGGGTCTACTACCCAATTTTTATTTTTGTCAGGAACTGGAAAATATTTTCGAAATGAATGTTTCAAAATTTGGAGGTGTTCAATAATTATATCTTTTGTGTCCTGAGGAAAAACTTCATCGGATGATTCTATAAATGCATAAAGAGTTGGAAAGTGGTTAAAATTGTTTTGAAGGGCACGTTTTCTCCATAACTCAAGTTTTTTTAACATAGCTTCAATGTTATCCTCCGTGTGAAAAATATTGTCTTCTTTCCCTTGTAAACTAATATTTAATGAGTTCAGAGANCTAACATAGCAGAAACCATAATTTTTGCAGCTGGTAGGATCAATTCTTCAACGATAGTATGTGGTTTGCCACTTTTTGCAACAAGTAAAGATACTTGATAAGATGCTGTTACAGCTCTTTCATTATTAGTTCCAATTGCAGTCTTTTTAATTAATTTTTTACTTTGTTCTAATTCAGTTGCTTTCGATTCAAAAAATTGTTTAGATTTTGTAAGATAATCTGTATGTCTGGTTTGTAAATGACGTCGAAGTTTTGCTGGTTTCATGGACTCGTTCGATAATATTTCATAGCATATGACGCATTGGGGTCTTTCTTCGTTGTTTACATTTATATTCGTGAAACCAAAAGTTATGTATTCTTCCGAAAACTTACGACGCTTATTTACATGCGTTGATCCTTTTTTAGAACTTGTAGAATCGCCTTCATTTTCTTCACTCATAGTGGTTTCATTATTTTGTAACCAGCGTTTCATTTTAAAAAATAAATTAAATTAAAAAATATAAATTTTTACGTACAATTATTTTATAATATAAATTAACTGAAAGTATGCTACACTACGTATACGACGATACGGCTGCAACGAACAAACTACCGGTTATTTGACCGACGCGATCAATCTGTCTCTGACGCGAACAATCTGCAGTCTTCTATACGTATAATCTAATCTTAATTGCTTTTCAACGATAACTATTTCAACAATGTATTTATTATCAACAGTATTTCCCATGTAATACGAATATTGCATCATTATTTTCGTTTTATGGATAGGTATACTTTGTAAATTTTTAATTTACGTTCGCGGACCCCCTCCGGTATACGTGCGGACCCCTAGGGGTCCGCGGACCACAGTTTGGGAAACGCTGATCTATATAGATAACTAATGATTTATAAAGTAATGGTGAAAATGATTTGTTTAATATTCTTTGAATTATGGCACTACTGTTTTTAAATCCTTGTGGTAACCTAGTGAAAGTAATTAATCCGTGGATAGAAGTAAAAGCTAATTTATATTGATCCTCAAGTTGTATAGGTAATTAGAAGAAACCACTATTTAAATAAAGGGACGTAAAATATTGTGACCCTTGTAACGAATTAAAATAACAAATGTATACTTGTTACAAAAAATAACTAGACTTAGAAAAAACGGTGATCGCGGGGTTATGGCGTGTTATGTAATAATGTACACAGTATGTCTGAAAAATTCCAGAACCAAGTTGTGTTAGTTTGTTTTTAAGTTGCTTTATGTTAGTAAAAACACATATTTAAAAATAAACGAATTTATTTACATCAACCCTCTACATATATTCCTTGTCTAGTTATACACTCGTTACATCGCCGGTAAAGCTGTTCAAACGTTCTGGAGAACTCATTTTACAAAATTGCCTTTGTGCTTTGTACAAGCTCTTTGAACTGCAGGAATGTCGTCAAAAAAGTGACCTTTTATTTTCAACTTGAGCTTTGGAAATAAAAAATAATCTGCAGGAGCCAAATCTGGTGAATAGGGTGAATGAGAGAGGACGATAATTTTATTTTCAGCGTAAAAACGTGTTAAAAGTGTCGCTGTATTTGCTGGAGCATTGTCTTGCAAAAGAGTCCAACTGCCTGGAAGGCGGTATTCGGGTCGGATTCGATGAATACGGGGCATTAGACGCTTCATCACTTCTAAATAAAATTTAGCATTCACCGTCTGTCCATTTGAAACAAATTCACAGTGAATCAGGCCCTTTGAAACGAAAAATGCAATTAACATTTTTTTGATTTTTGCTGCCTCACTTTCGTTGGTCTTTGAGCTCCCGGACTTAACCACGCTGAAGTTTGCCGGATGGTTTGAGGGTCATACATAAAACACCAACTTTCATCACTCGTTATAATTGTTTTTAAAAAATTTGGATCGCTGTTGGCAGTTGCAATGAAATCTCATCTGCAAGAAAGACGCGTTTGTTTTTGTTCATCGGTCAAAAAATGTGGAACAAAACGTGAAAATTTTTTTCGACGGTTCATTTCTTTTGTTAAAATTGTACGTAATGCATCTTTACCAATGTTAAACTTTTCTGCTATGATCCGAAGGGTAAGATGAGGTTGTTCGAGCAGCAACGCACGTACTTTCAAAGCATGTTCGTCTTGATCAACTGTTGATGGCCTTCCACTTCGTTCGTCGAACATATTTTGTAAAAAGGGGGTGGGAGAAAATCTATGTCGATGAAAAGGTAGAAAATTCGGGCGGCCATGTTAAAGTAAAGCATCTGGGCTCCTGGCACCTTGCACCAGGATGGGCGACCATGTATTAGGTATAGCACCTGGGCACCTTACATCTGCAGCCACGCCTGCGCCTTGGGCAGAAGCCTCCTTTTCTTACTATTAATGTTCAATCGATTTTTTGCATTAGTTTTAATTGTGACCATTGTTGAAAATCCAGACTAGCAGAGATAGGTAGTAGCGTAGCGAATGGAATCAAAAATATCATTGCCCTGGATACAGCTCGCGGATAAGCCTTCGTTCACGAACATTAAAATTCGATTAGATTTTTTGTTTAAAAATCGTGGCGTGCTATTTTTTTAAATCTTGAATCAATTAATTAGTCTTTAATAAGATCTAAATCATTAATTTTATTTAAGTCCACGAGAAAAGGATATTGTGTACTCATACTTTTGAGTTTGAAAATGTAGAATCGAAATAATTGCCAAATTAATTTTCAAGAACATCAAGATGGTCACAAATTTGCGTTTTTATGGAACTGGACAAAGCAATATTTTTTGAAAGCTCGTGTTCAAGTGTTGGAAAGTTAGGTACATTTTCCGATTTAAGTCCCCTTTTACACAGAGAAATTTTATTTACAATTTATTTTTTTTATTTTATTCATGCTATCGAAACAAATTTATTTTTGGGTTATTTAAAAAAAAAACTTACAGCTACCCTGTGGACCATGGACCCCCCCGGTTCAGAACCTGTGATCTATTTACTACTACTCTTTTTTTTTTTTCTTTTTAATTAAAAATAAAAAAGAACTAAAATTGTTCAATTAGTATAAATTTAAAATTCGCGATTGATTCTCCCAATAATTTTATGTAGGTGCCTCTAATCATAATAATTCATTGTTTTTTTTTCTAAATATCGTTTTGCTTACTTTTTCTAAAGTTAGCAGAATATTATAATTCTGTGGGAACCTATATGCACCTTGGTAGTTTTTCCTTTAAATTGTGTTGTATAAAACCGTTTTTATTTTTAACAGAATATTGAAGCGTGGGACGAGGAATTTATTAGTTTCGATTGAATGTGAAATTCATACGCCCACAGTAATAATAATAATAATAATAAAAGAAAACATTAAATACGAGTATTTAAAATAATTTAGTTTTTTATTTTGTTATTTGGATCGGGAATTTTGAAACAAAAAAAATATTTTTAATCACTGCGGAAATTCCGCATATTTTTTAGAGTAATTTGTGAAAACATCGGATCATATACATTTTCAGGGTTCCAAAAATGCATAATATTTAAATCTAATATATATCTAACACTTACATAGTTTTTTTTTTTTTATTGGATTTTACTTAGATTTTTAATATATTTTTGTTAAATGTCCTATTTTGTTATTATTTGAAAACATGGTTCATTATATTTAGGTTTGATAAATTTGAATTGGTTCAAATTGGTTAAAAGAAAAAAAAAGTGTATTCATTACTTACATTATTCATAATTTACTCATTGGATTTTTTCGACCTCTGGCGTGGATTAAACAACCCGTAAGTTGATTTGCCACTGGCGAGGCATTAATTTGTCCGTAAGCAATTGCATCGGTATATCCATACATATTTGCAACATGACTCAAAAATAAGGAAATGAATACACGTTACAACTTAAGTGACATTCAATTCAAATGCTTAAATATACAAGTTTTTAAATTCACCTGTGTTAAAAAAAACTTATACCTATATATATATATATATATATATAATATATGTATTATACATATTATCTATATATTGCGTTTAAATTGGACATTTTTTCAAAAATAAATATTATTCGAAGAATTTAATATTGATGGTTAAATTGATATTTGTAAAAAGAATAAAGTTAATACTGTGGGCGAATGCGGCTACCGTTATAGGCATTCGTGTATTGGTAAATATATTCATCCTATTTATGGGTATACAAACTAATCAAAAACGTATATTAACTTAACATTTTTTTTCTCGTTCCACTCATTTTTCTCACTACGCTCGATAAAATAAAGTGAACATAAATTGAACTAACCTTAAATTGTAGTAGGTAGATCATTGGAAAATTGTTATTCTTATAAAATCTACATTAAAAAAGTATAGTATTTAATAAACGATTAAAGTGAAATGGAAAAACGCTATGTATTGTTTTTTAATTTTTGGTTTTGTTTCCTCAATCCGTAAACATTTACAGACACGTTTAAATTATTTTTTTCAAATTGTCCGAAAAATGTCCTGAAGCGGGGTTGGGTATGTCACTCCGCTAAAATCGTGCTTCGTCTCGTGTGTTTCAATTGTGATTGATACGATAATCGTGGACCCCCTTTACGTGTTTTGCCAAAATCGCCCACTTGAAACATTGTTCGTCTGTGTTATGATGTGGGTTGACGACGGCCCGTTTATTTACGATGTTTTCGGGTAGCGGCATATATGACGATCCGCCCATAGGTTGAAATTTGTAAACTTTTAATAGTATACCGTCGATACATTGTAGTGAAAAACCATTTCTACGTCCTCGGTATGATTCTTCTTCTTATTAATAATTTAATGAACTTTTCATCTATGATATCCCCAATTTCGCTATCGAAAAATATTGACCTGGCTGAGGTCTTGAACGCACTGTTCCCGGCTGAATTTTCTACCTGCGGTTTGCAATATGTTGACTCTGGTTCAAATTAAATTTAATCTGGTTTTCTTGAACAATTTTTGTTAGGATGTCGATTAGTGCGGGTTTAAACGATTTAAGACATTTTCTGTAATTTTGTATGTTTGAGAGATTTTGGGAATAGTACCACACGATTTACGGGAGAATGAAGAATCCGGGTGCATTCACTAAATCTATCCTTGCTTTATTTACTCTGGTTGCGGTATCTACATCGACCATTAATTTCCTTTCTACCAAAAAAAAAAAAAAAATCTAATATAATCTAATATAGTACTTTTTCCCTCGTACGAGTGCGTCGTACAAAATACGGTGTATCAAAAGTCTTCATCCAATTTCAAAAATTTATATTTATATTAAAAATGTAGATATAAGGGTGAAATAAAGTAAAATATATTCTTAAAATAGTCAAGTTTTATTTACTTTGGTTACAAATGTTCAATATGACCCCCACCGGCCGCCCGACACACATCTATACGGTAATCAAATTCTTCCCAAACGTTGCTGATCATATCTGGGGTTACGGCATTAACAGCATTTTTGATTCTGATTTTAAGCTCTTCCAAGTTAGTAGGTAACAGTGGTACATACACTTTATCTTTTATTTAACCCCATAAAAAATAATCACACTGTGAGATCAGGGGAACGTGGTGGCCAGGGATGAATCGCCAAATCGTCGGTTCCTTTACGCCCAATCCACCGCTGAGGGAGTTCACCGTTCAAATACCGGCGAACTTCTAACTTCCAGTGCGGCGATGCTCCATCTTGTTGAAAAACAAACTCGTCACTATTCGCTTGTAACTGGAAACAACCATGTTTGCAACATGTTTAGATATGTGTTACCCGTTACTGTGTTTTCAGAAAAAAAAAATGGACCGTAAACTTTTTCCCTGGAAATTGCGCAGAAAACATTGATTTTTGGTGAATCTCCTCTTTGATGCTCAACAGTTGCGTGTGGTTGCTCTAAAGCCCAAATCCTGACAGTATGGCGGTTGACTTTTCCACTTACATGGAATGTGGCGTCGTCCGAAAAAACAATGCGTGAGACGAATGGCTTATTTTCTCCTTGTTTTTCGGATTTGAAATTGCAAAAATCCATCTTTTTTTATTTGTCTTCCGGTAGGAGGGCTTGTAACAGTTGTAGTCGGTATGCCTCCAATGTCAAACGACGTTGTAGAACACGCCAAACGGTCGAATGTGGGATATCTAGCTCTAGGCCTGCACAACGTGTAGACTTCTGTGGATTTCGAACGAAACTTTGTCGAACACGCTCGATGTTTTCGTCAGAGGTACGAAGTCGACCTGAGCGTTTCTGTGCACACAGACAACCACTTTCTTGGAACGTTTGGTGTGAACGTCGAATGCTTTGAGCAGTAGGAGCTTCAGTTCCATAAGTTTGTTGTGCCTATACGAGTTGTTGTGCTCGTATGGGTTGTTTTATTTGTTCGGTAGTGTGAGGATCCAATTTTAGGAGAAAGTACAACGAAACAGTTCTAAGGATTTTTAGTTACTAATATAATTTAATNGCATCGCCTGCCTAAAGACGCTGGCGATCAGCGACTCAGCTATCGGCGTCACCTCGGTTTCAAAGTCGTGTAGCTAAATCGTTAAAAAAAATGTATTTTTTTTTTATAATATTGTATAAGTCATAGGGTTGTTTTAAAACCTTAAATAAATATATGTATTTTAAAATGTAAAATTAAAATAATATGATTAATAAACGAGATCTCCATAGCTACCGGTTAGTCAGAAAAATAAATAGTTTATAATACCATAATGTGTTTCATTACCTAACGATTATAATATATTATACACTGATTATTTGTTCCTTAGTGTGAGGATCCAATTTTAGGAGAAAGTACAACGAAACAGTTCTAAGGATTTTTAGTTACTAATATAATTTAATGTGAGTCGAACAATTTAATTAAAGAATAATTTATTATAATAGTCGTTGAGACGACGTATAGTTTTAAAAGTGGTAGCTCGACTGACGGCTCTCTCGCGGGTGCCGTATAGCTACAATATTCTCGGAGCCGCCTACACACTAGGCGTTATCGATAGACTACAATAATAATATAATCTTATGCTCTAATACAAAGGGCTTATACTACTATACTATATACTATAGCAATATGCTCATAACACTTCCCGGGTTAGACGGAAGATCGTTATCCTATGTTTTTAAAGAACTATTTTGGGTGATGATTTTCCATTTTCTAGAGTTACTTCGAGTTCTATGGCTGTTGGATCCGTCGAACTCGGTTGGTTTACATTTCTTATTTTACATTTGTATACTATAACTATGCTTAAGCTAAATATTATGATTAACAGTGTACAGATACAAATAATTACACCAAAATTGATTAATATTGATTCGTTATTTGTGTTATTTTGGGTTAAGACTTACTTCTCATAATTTAAAAAAAATAGATTCTGAAGGTAGTAACTTTTTAACTCTAGTCGTTTTGTATGCGGAACGAGGTATATTTATGTTTGGTACAACGTCTGAGTCCATATCAGAGTACATTGTTCTGAACGGTCTCATGTGATAACCTGCAGACGAAGCGGAACATTGCTTGCTGAGAGATATAATTTCTGAACTATACATTTTCTTAATAATTTGATTATGATTTGAACAAATAATAATTAAATTTTGATGAATTGCAGTATATAACCATGAATTTGATGACATTAATTTATGAAAAATACTATGTTCAATTGATGTGTATTTAAACTTACAAACATTATCAATGTTAGATAATTTTGTGCCAATTTAAGGCATTATTAAAAAAAATTTTCAGCCGTGCCATAATTATTTTTATTAACACAGAAAAATATAAATGAAAAATTAATGATTATCATGTAGGTTGTAAGCTTTTTTAAGTCTGGTTGATACGATGTTGATTGCAAGGAAATACATGCTGCCGAATCTTCCTCCGTTAATCTGTTCCTGGCCTTTGAAAGTGTATGATTTAATATTGAAATGATACTCTCGTAAGCATACGTTGATGGGAAAATCGTTAACAATGAAATCGCTAATTTTTTGACGGAATTAAAAGTATCTGGAATACTATTCCACACTCCTAATATTATGTTGTCAACACCGCAATTTGTTTCTTCGTTATGTATCCTTGCTTTATTTACTCTGGCTGCGGTATCTACATCGACCATTAATTTCCTGCCTACTAAAAAAATAAAAAAAAATAAAAAATAAAAAAAAAATCTAATTTAGAACTTTTTCCATCACTACGTGGTGGAGCATAATAAAAGATTTCTTACCTGGGTAAATATCCATATCGATTTCCATAGTTTGACAGCTCGTCGTCGTCTTCAAAGTCGCTCCTCTATACATCGACTGCTTGCAGGCTAATTGGCGTAAGCGTCAGAAACCAAATTGTTCAAGAGAGCCCTCTACGCCAAACTATAAAATTTAGATTTTTTTTTTTAAAAAAAGATGGGTCATGACTATTATATTGTGATCCAACAAGACGTGAAAAATTAGAGATATAGGTGTAATTAATTATATCGGTTTTGTGAGTTGATTTACTTGGTATTTGTTCACACTTCACGGAATGATATGGGGCGTTGTCCATTTTATTGACACAGCTCTCCATCCATTTGAAAAATGTGTTACCATTCATTTCCTCATGATTGTCGGTATTAGTTTTTTTTGCTTCGAAACACAATAGCCCACCAGGTACAAAACCGTTTTTCGACCCGATGTGAAGAACAATGAGCCTCTTGCCCTTACCAGATGGATTCTGTGAGCCTGTCGTGAGACCTTGTACAAATGCATGACTGTACGATTTAATTGTATTGTCTATTCAGATGTTGCTTGTACAGTCGCCTGCGTTCACCCATGTCTCGTCCAGATAATACAAATACCGTCCTTCTTCACGATATTTTTTAATATTCAGCAAATATCGTCTACGCCCCAAAATAATTTCGTCCTTTTCGATAAGGGCGCTATTCCGACTTTGTTTTGTGTAGACGAAATTCATAAATTTTAAAAGATTATTATTTAGGTTTGAACGTGAAATATTTGGTAGACTGTCGTCATTCTTTATAACTGTTAGTATCTTATCTAGTGTCGGAATAGTCTTGTTAAACCAAAAGGAATGGACATGTCGACGTATTGTTCCAAGTTGTAGATCATCATATAGATCTTTATAGGTTTTTGTCGAATTTTGTATGGAGAAGTCACAGTCTTTTTGGTATTGTACTCGCTAATCACGTTCGAAACCGTCCTTTGCCCGAAACCAAGATTTTTCGAAATAACAGTACGACAATCGCGAATTGTTTTGTTTGGATTTTTCATCAATTCTAATTTATATGCGTTAACTATCATAATCCGTTTATCAGATGAAACTGGCTGGAATAAAATATAAAAAAACTATGTTAAATAATGCATACAATCAATTTCATCTGTTAACACGTTAGCTGCCATGAGGCCGCTGGTAGCCACAAGAATATGTATCATTGGTAAACCAAATACATTTTTCAGTTTCATTAGAAATTTATATGTATACTATTGAATTTGAAAAAAAATTCAAAATTCAAAAAAAGTTGAAAAAATATGTTTATTACATGTTTTTTCAATTGATTTTAAGTACTAACCTTTTCCGCATGGATTTTTCCTTATTGGAGAAGCAACTGCCGCATTGTCCGTGTCCATAATAATTAATAAAAACACGTAAATTGCAAAATCGTACTTTATTGTGCAAAGTAGGTTTAGAATACGGACAATCTATTTTTACAAGGAAATCTTTAAACTGGCGATGGTAGAGTGCTTTTGCCAAGATGCTGTTAATGATTTTAATTATTAAGTTAATGACCTCAACTATTTCGGCCGGAAATGTTTGGGCACAAAGCGCCTCGATGAATTATACAGTGAAACGTTAGGATTTCGTGGTTAATTTTTTTCTGAAGAATCGATATTGTCCCTTTATGTATTCCTGTCATACTTCTGGCTCCATCAGTTGCTATGGAAACGATTTTATTTAAATTAATTCCATTGTCTTCCCGGAATTTTTGCACAGCATTTACTGTATCTTCCCCACGAGTTTGTCCAGAGGGTGGTAGCAACCCTAGCAGTTCTTCTTTTGGACCTTGGGACGACATATATCCGACGAAAAGGAAAACTTGTGCCGTGTCTTTTATGTCACAAGACTCATCTATAGCAAGTGATAAGGCAGAAGCTACTTGAATGTCTCACTTGCATATGTGTTACATTCGAAGACATTCTTGCAGTTCTATCATAATTGAATTTTAACAACTTGACTGCCATGAGAGCCAAATTTGAATCTCAGTAGATTTTACTATAGTGCCACGATATTTTATTTGAACTTGCCAAAATAACAAAGATATCTAATTTTACTAGAGATTTTTGAATCTTTGTAAAGCCTTTGAGTAGTTATAAATTAATTATTGTAGGTACTTACTGTATCTTGAGTATTTATAGTTGTCTGGCATTCGTAAACTGGTGCCAGAAAAGACTCCATATATTCATAAGCAAACCATAATATTGGCTTTTAAATATCATTTACATCGGCTCCTGATCTGGTTGAAGCTTTTTTTTTTTTTTTTACGCAAATAGCCCCTACGGAAATATTTCTAATTTCACCACATAGTCCAGCATCGGCACCGTCGACGTACATTTCTTTTGTGACGTGCCCGTCTGTACAAAAATATCCAATGATGTCGGCCCAGTCAATGGTTGACAAATCGCACGCAAAACTGCGTCTACGAACGTGCTTGCGTTGCGTCGATACTTTCGGAAATACGAACATCGTTGGAGCCAGGCGCAGCGGCAAGTTTGGTTTGCCTGGTGACAGGCGTGTGCGACGTGGATTTGGTCGTCGTGTTCACAGACGAGAATGAACTGTCTGTTGATGATGTATTTGAGATGCAACCCGAATTCTTTAATACAAGAAACAACTCCATCGCGTCCAACGACGTTGCTGACGTAGACGTCGCTCCCTGACCAATTGCGATTAGCGAGGTAATCGGCATTTCGTCGTATGACGTCCGTATGCCTCGCCCCAGGAACTTATAACTGAATAACGGACGTGCTGGCCGTGATATATTCTGGAAAAACCACGGAGGTATATAACAAATGATAGCTGGCGACAGCGATGGAGGACATGGTGACCACGGTCTACCAGAACCTGAAAACTCAATTTACGACCACGTTGACGGTCTTGCGGCAAGGCATACGACGAATTGCCGATTAAGTGTTTGTAATCCAAGTCAGGTTTTTCGGGCCACACAAGCATTATGCGATTTTTTGGAAAAAACGGAAGCCGAACTAAAGAACGACAAAAAAGAGAAGAGGTCTATCCCGGTAATGACGAACCAAGCCAAAGTCGGTATAGAACGGAACGAGAATTAAACCCAGCTAAATTTGGAATTTCCTTGCATCAACCAACAATTCAAAAACCAAAAAACGATAAAATAGATGTCCACGCCGATCAAGACCAAGACGAATTTGACTGTTCCGACGACGACAATACCGACGGACCAGGGAGAGAAGAGGACACGGGAGGTCCTCTCGGAATAAATATGAGCCAGAGTATAAAAGATCAAGCCAATCTTTTCGGCCTGTTGACTATAATATACGATTTGGACACGTCAGACGATCCGATATTATATCCGATGACGATTATAGTGTTAATGATATCGATTTTCCTGGCCGCGGGACACCGAAACCGTAAGTGTTATTCAGCGGATCATACGCCGGCCGCTGTAAGCATGGTCTCCTCTCTTCCTGCTCTCCCTGGACCTTTATGCCGATCAAGGCGTAGAGGTCTCTTTTATTTTTTTTTGTTTTTTGATTTGTTGGTTAATACAATGAAATTTCAAATTTAGCCGTGTTTAATTCACGTTCCGTTTTATCCCGACGTTGGCTTGGTTCGTCATTACCGGGATAGACTTCTTCTCTTGTTTGTCGTTCTGTAGTTCGGCTTCCGTTTTTTCCAAAAAATCGCATAATGCTTGTGTGGGCTGAAAAACCTGACTGCATTCTAAATCCAAGTCGTTGTTGTTGAATAAATTACCAGATTCGAAATCAGTATCGGTCTGCATAATTAAATTCAAATAAGAAACGAGACGATTGTTACGTATTGTACGACGAGTGC